CCATGGAACTCTTTTCCATGTAGCTTGTACCAAGGGCTCACTCCGTCCTCTCCTTCCTCAATGTTCAAAAGATGGCTGACGCATTCTACTGCATAGCTCCAGAAACATGGTGGTAACCCCGCTTCCAAGAGACAAGTTGCGGTTGTCATCATAATGAACTGATTGTTCCTCTCCGCCAGAGAATTGTTCTGAGGATGATTCGGTAGAGAGTGATCGAATGGGATCTTCAGCTGCTTCATAGCCGTCTCAAACTCTGGGGCTTTGTCGGCATAAGCAATCTTGATCTTCTTCAATCCTTTGAAGTGGTTTATTGCATTGACCACGTCCTTGGTAAACCTCTCTTTCGACGGATAGGCCCATATGACGCCTGTGTACCTGTCACGAATGACGAAGATCTCTCGATCAGTACTGATCCCTTGATCAAGGATGTTCCTCGTATCGACAAAATCAAAGGTAACCAGATCTCCAAAAGCTTTGAGCTTTCTCTTGAATGCTCCTCGATGCGTCTTGAAGTGTTTCATCTTTGCTCTGATGCATGACTCACAGTAGGGATTCTTGTAACGATGTGTGAGTAGATGCTCGATTTTCCTGGCATCTGCTTTCAGAGTTCCTCTTCTCACCATTCTACTTGCACCGTCAACAACATCCACCTCGATGTCATCTGCATCATCATCGTCAGCTTCTGGTTCACTGTCTCCGGCGACATCTGATCCTACCTCATCTTCTTCTCCAGGAGATGCCTTGAACTTCTTATTCCTCTTTCGCCTTTTGACTTTTGGAGGTTCAATCACAGGAAGGTCGTCATCATCACACATGATTCCTTGAGGATCCACATCACAGTTGATGAAAGTCGATTGGTAATCAGCTTCATCTTCTCCTAGGGTGAACCTTGCGATCATCTCCGCCCTTGTATCGTCGGTGGGAGTACAGAAGTCACTGCCCTTGACAATATATGGGATGTTTCCCTCTACTTCTAACATGATTTTCTTGTAGTTCGGGGAAACCATGTACGGGTTGCCGCAGGCTGGCCATATGAATGTGTATCCTTCCTCCATGCATTTCTTTCCAACAGACAGTACTGAAGGAGACTCATCTAGGACGAATGGGGAGTAGGTAGAGTCAAATTCGTCGAAATGAATGTCAGCGACTCCTTTTGTGGATGTCACTCCATTTGCGGTATAGAATGACATTGATTGGTCGCTTTCTCTCACTTCCAGACCTAATTTCTTGGCTCTGCCTTTCGATATCAAATCATACCCACATCCTGTGTCCATGATGAATTTCGTTCTTGACCCTTTGGCTGGAATAGACAATGTCTTTGTGTCTGCATGATCTTTCTTTCCCTCGCATACATGAGGAATGACTTTATGATGGAAAACTAGGCCGTCATCTTCGTCAAAAGACATAGTGACCGATAGGTCACCCTTTGGTCCAACTGGTATTCGGACCCTCTTGATCTCAGTGTAGGGGACCATCAGTATGCCTCTCGCCTCTGCGACCTTTTCTTCAAATCTGATTTGTTCTTTCCTCGTGTAGCAGGTGAGCTCTTTCTCATCGTATCGTTTGATGTCCGGACGTAGAGGTTTCTTTTCTACTACCTTCCAATTGTCCCTGACTGAGTAGATCGCTTCGTTCAACATGATCTCACAAGTCTCTTCATCAAAGGATACTTTTGCACCTCCTTCTCTTGCCTTGGCGGATGCAGCAATCCCTTCATCTTCGGATTCGTCCATGAAGAGTTCACCGTCAATGGCTGGGGCTCCAGGCTTCGCCTTAGGCTTCGGTTTGGGTTTTGCCTTGGGCTTTGGCCTATCGTCTCCTGAGTCAGCTGGTGCAGATATCCCTTTCTTAGGAGAGGCTTTTGGGTCATGGTAGAACTTGCAATCCTTCCCTTTGTCACAAGTTCCTCGAATCCACATCCAACATACTGGCTTGTCATTCTTTCCGACAGAAGATCCTCTGGATGGTGACCTGGGTTTCTTGTGACTGAATGGGCAATCTTTCCCCATAGTGCAGTTACCTTTCACGAAGAATTTGCATGGTATCTTCTTCTTGTCTGTACTCGGACTTCGGCTGCGATCCTTTCCATCACCTTTACCTTTCCCCTTTCCCTTTTTGTTCTTGTCTTCAGGATGCTTCTTGGGATTGGGTTTCGGCTTCACTGCAGCAGCGTCTTCTGAGACAACCTGTTCTTGTTGCCCTTTTGGTTTCTTCTTCGGATCAGCTGGTGCAGCTTTCAGTTTTGGAGCAGGTCCGCCTGGTTTGAGATTCTGAAAGATATTGGCCACATTCTTCACTGCCTTCTCCTTTTCCAGGATCATCCTGTCTTCAGTTTGCCGTTCGATGTGCCTTCTGATCATATCACGTAGATGTTTGTATGTCTTCTTGGCATCATCGTCGTTCATGCTATTGTAGGCGCTGATGTCGTATGCCATGAGGTTTGAGTTCCTGATCTTTCTCCATAGGAGATCCCGAAGAGTTTCGTCGCTCGGGACGTCAACGGGCTTCATTCCTGCCAGAATCTCATCCCAAGTGTGGAAGAACAACGATAAGTTCTTGTCTCCTTGATATTCTAGTTGGTAGAGGTGCATTGAAGTATATAAGACTTCCACATTTGATGTTGTCTTGAAATTCATAAGGATCAGGGCTAGGACCTCTCTTCCCTTTATGAGGCTTGATGTTCTCCCTTTTGCATTGATCCTCGTCCTCAACTTCATAGCTACACCTGAACCATCATCTTTCGCATCCATGACGACCTTGGTAAGAGCTAGGCCGAGTTTGGCATCGATTGAATGGAATCTTTGGTCTCCTGAGTCGACAAACTTGTCCGGATCAGGATCGTCCATGGCTTCTTTGATCCAGTCGATCCAGGGCTCTTGATCTGAATCATTGGCCGCAATGATGATCGATTGAATGAGATTTGCCTTCCATAGTCCAAGATCATTGATCCTGGGCCATGACGGAACGTTTATCTTTGATTCTTCCTTCCTCGATACTTTCATGATTGTAGAGGTTGCCGGTGTAAGATGAGATGAAGAGGATGCTTCTGCTTCTGAAATCTTGTCCCTCAATGATTTGTTCGCCTCGGATAGCTCAATTGATTTCTCCCTTTCCTCGGCGTACTCGTTGTGGGTTTCGGCATACCATTCATACATCTCATCTCGGCTCTCTGTCATTTCATTGTACCCGTCCTTGTAGTGCTTCGCCTCCTCTTTTGCGTTCCGAATCTCATCTTCCTCGGACGCGTGGGTTGGTAACCCGCGGTCTCTGGAACTAGGACGCTTGCTGTACCGAGAGACTATGAGTGCCATTCGCGCTTCTGCTTTTAATTTCGCATTTTCCATAATGACATTCTTTGTCTCCTTCTGGCTTTCCAATAGTGCATTCTCCAGTTCTCTGATCTTCTGTTGAATTTCAGCACCATCATCGCCGAACATAGGAGCTCTCATCATATTCTCTCTTTTCAGCTGTGCGTTGGCTTCGGATAGAGCGAGGTTGACGTCTTTCAATTGTTGTCGTTCACGGATGGAACTTTCTAGGACTTCGTTGTTGAATATTTCTCCTTTTGCGATAACCTCCTTTGCGACGTTTGCTTCGTATTCATGGTGGCTCGCCTTCATTTCTGCCATTTCTTTAGCAGAGACTTCAGTCTGGCATACAAACATCTCCATCCTCATGCCCACTTCCATCTCTCCTATCTCCGCTCTCGCGTTGAGTTCAGCTCCACGTGCCATAGCTAGTTGACCTCGTAGATGATCAATAACCATAGCTTCCTGATTGCTCTGATCTTGAGATGAGTGAACACTGTGTTGAAGACGTCTTTCCCTGACCTCACTGTTCCATTGTTCTTCTCTCTGGTGTTGGATCACCTCGTGCATGTTGACATTCTCATCCTGTAGCGCAATCATTCTAGCTTGTATCTGGTCAGCTATTCCGACGAAGGCTATGTTCTCATCCTGAATGGCTTTTGATCTTCTATTGATCGCCAATGAAGATTCATTCTGTTCTTGGATGTGTCCAATTGCTGCTTGAAGCTCTTGGGACATTCTGTCCTTCGTTGCTTTCACAGATTCAAGCTCTGAATGTTCTTGATGAGTTTCTTGTGCAAGCTCTTGATATCTCATGTAGATATGTTCAGCTGTCGATTCCGCCAAGCGTAGCTTGTGTTCGAGCTCTTCAATTCTTATTGTCGCTCCTTCATCTTCCTGTGTCATCTCTTGTAGATGTTCCTGCATCTTCCTGTTGTAGTCAGACATTTGCCTGAACTCCACTTCAGCCTCGTGGTGTAGTCGTGAGTATCCGGCTTGGATGCATTCATATTCTTCATGAAGAAAATTGTATGCGTTTCTCGCCGATCTCAATTCTTCACCCAGCTGAATCTCTCTTCTTTGCTCTTTTGTTCCTCTATCATCGTCACGTCTCTTCTCTATACTCCTTCTTGGGGATCTCGCGGTAGACGTTATAGGCGATGTAGATCTTGTTGTAGCTCTCATCGATCTTCTTGGTCCTACGGGTGCAAGATCGGTCAGATTCCGAGCCGGTGGCACGGATCTTTCCGAGATTTGTGATCCAGTAGGCATAGTGATAACGTCAGCATTTGCTGATGAATCAGTACCCATTGTAGAGTCTGGTGACGAAATGGTGTTGGGACCACCAGGAGCAGCGAATGAATAGGGTTCGCTTCCATTTCCTCCTGAGCTTGACATTGCAGGTTTCTGTAATGACTAGTCTTGTTCTTGGTCTCGTGTAGCTCGTACGGCTATAAAGAGCGCGTACGGCTGATAACCTGCGAGTGGATCTTAATCAGCGAAGTTTGAAGCTATCACTGACGGTCCATAAGCGGCGTAGCGTCGGAACGGAAACCGCACCTTTTCTAGTCGCTTGATCCTTGAGCCAAAGTACATATGGTACATATATATGTACAAGTTGCACTGTACGTGTCGCTGCACTTCCATTCGCATAATTGATTAAAATTGCACTCTTCTTCTACATGAGCGCTCCTCCCAGTCATCCACTTAGGACAAATTCTCGTTTTGCAGTGATACCACGGGTTGCTGTCGGCAGGTGGCATCTTTTGCTCTCATTTCCTGGCAGTGCTTCGTCGCCCAGAAGAGCTAAAACTCCCGCAGCACCACATAGTAAGGAGGTACAGCAAACCGGCTGTTTCTGAAATCTTGACTTCGTTTCAATCTGCGGCAGCCGGCTTGTGGTTGTTGTGGTGCCAAAAGCCACCAGAATCTGGCAACTTGCTTGCCTCTAACTGAAGGGGCTTCAAAGAACTACCAAACTGCCAAACAGTGGAATACCGTACCAGAGTTTTTTGGTGCAATCTTTTGCGTGTCAGGGTTCCAACGGTTCAAGCAATCCCGACCTTGGGAAGTGCAAAGATCTTCTGATCTGCTAATCTTGAGGACTGCACATCTGGCATCGGCAATCTGGCAAGTGCTCAAATTCAATGAGATAGAGTGGCAGAACCGAAGCCTTGTCGTACAAGACGTACTCTCTATGATCCACACATCCGCCTTCGGCTTTTGTAAGGGCTACCACCGAGTCGCTGTTGGCGGGTGGCATTCTTCGCTCCGGGCACATGAGTTTTTGGTAGTGTGGATTGCCCAGCAAGGCTCTGACTACAAGCACAGTCTGGCGCAAGCCTCCATTCTTGCGTTCCACATCATCATCGCCGGCATAGCGGAAGCACTTTGAGGCATTGTGGGCGAAATAGCTCCCTTGCCCAAACATGGCACCAGTGCCAAGACCAGCATATCGAGGATCAAATCCGCTGGTCAAGATTCCGTTGATCTTTGCACTGGGTGATCCGTGAAAAAGGAGCACTTCATTGAAGTTCACCCCAGAGTCTGGGCAATGACAAACTTCTTCAATGGATCGTTGATTCTGGAGAGACTTCCCAATCAATGTCTCGATGTCTTGCAAGGGTTCGCAACTCTGTCCAGCCCTTTCTTCCAATAGTTCCTCTCGCCGCTGTGCATACCTCTTCAAAAATGTCCTCAAGGTTTGCGTTTCCATACTTCAGAACATTGCCACACAATGTGTGAAGTTATGCCCGCCTAACCGAACCTGACTGATCCTGACCCTCTGACTCTGTACTTTTGTGCTTGACACATGGCCGCCAACACCGCTAACGCCCCACGGGCCTGTTTTCAATCTTTTGTACCTCCAACACCTTGACACGAGCGGTTGGGCACCACAGTGATGGATCTCGAGCATGCCGATGCTTTACCAATGACCTTGTAAAAAGCCACTCCACCTTGCAAGTCAGGACACAGCGCGCTTGGTTGGCAAGGTAGCCTTGACTTGAGGACATGTTGGGGTTGCTGAGGCCACAGCGAAACTGAACTCCGTCTTGTCAGCAGGGACCACGGATGTCCGCAATGACACGGTGCTTTCGTGGGGCAAAGCGCATGCCGCCTCACATTGAGATCAGCATGGGCCCAACTGCAGTTTAAATGTTGTAAATTTGACAAACAATCGAGGAAACTAAGTTTGCACTGACCAAAGTAGTTGCAACTTCTTGATGGCCAGGCTGCAAACAGGTGTTTGCAAACGTGTTGTTTTTTCCCCCCGAATTCGTAGCGAAGGGTTCTCGTTTAACTTCGGGGGTCTGGAGTCCGGAGGTAAAGTCTTGTTCGCGACGCGTTATTGTAGCGATCGCAGCCGTTGGCAACCGCCCGCTACCGTTCGCAATAGGTTCGCTATGGCGCTGACAGTGGTTGGAGACGTTTTGGATGGAAACATGAAGTGAGTAGCGAGGAATCGTAGGTCATATGGATGCGCAACATTTTGATGTGTGGAAGCGGATTTTCATGGATTTTCGCACAATTGCAGTGTTTTATGAAATCCGCAGTTTCCTTTGCTGTGACAGGGGGTTGGCGTTCACAGGGTGGCGTGTTGGAGGTGCTATAGATGTCGGATTTGCGTTTCAATTTGTTGCTGCGAGGCTTTGTTTTCGCGACAAGTCTCAGCTAAAGCTAAAGTTCTTACTAAGTTTTTACGATTTTGGATGATTGTGGTGCGTGCTCAGAATGTCAAAAAAATCCAAACATATCCAAACATGTGGTGTGGTGCAAATTTGGGTGGAAACATGGAGATGTCACGTTGTCACTTTTCGTGGCAGGCGCGGTGCTTTGTGCGTGTTGGAGGCGTCGAAGTTTAGTTTTCGTGGCAGGGGCAGGAAATCGTGAGGTAGCAATGTTTGGTGCAGGTGAATGTCACGTTTTTGTTTTTGAGGGGCTGGGATTGCAAAACTGCTTGGCAGGGCTGCAGAATGTGTTGTGTCTGATGAGGCTCCCCGCTTCACTTTTGAAGGCTGTCTCGCACCAAACGCTCGCTTTGAAGACTTTGATGCGTGACTTTTGGAGCAAGTCTCGTGCAAAATATGTGCTTTCCAGACTTGACGAGTGACTTTTGAAGGAAGTCTCGTACAAAATGCTCGTTTTTGTGCCCCACAAGAGTGTCGCACAAGAGAGTCCCGCAAGAGTGTCGCACCAGAGTGTCCGACAAGATTGTCCTACAAGAGTTTCGCACAAGAGTGTCCCAGAAGAATGCCCCCGAATGCACAAGAGTGAGTGTCCCACAAGCGAGTCGCGCGAAAGTGTCCCCCAAGAGTGTCCAACAAGAGTGTTCTACAAGAGCGTCTCCTACAAGAGTGCTCTACAATGAAGAGTCCCACAAAAGTGTCCCACAAGAGTTTTGCACAAGATATCCCACAGGGTGTCTCCTACAAGAGTGTCCCACAAAAGTGTCTCCTACAAGAGTGTCCTACAAAAGTGTCGCAACCGCACGAGTGTCCCACAAGAGTGTATCCTACAAAAGTGTTCCACAAGCACCAGAGTTTTCCCCAAGAGCATCCCACAAGAGCGTGCCACAAGAGTACCGCCTACAGTGTCCCACAAGGGTGTCAAACATTGTTTGGCCGTTTGTTTTCGTCGAGTGCGTGTGTGCATTCGGGTTCGTGGGCTCCATCTTGTTTCATCACCACGAGCCTGATCTCTAGAAACCATGGATTCTTGGGCACAACGGGCTCGGTCAAGCAACAATCACTCAGTGATTTCCAGAGTGCATCTGGGCAACATGTTTGCACCCGAGACCAACGCCAGCATCATCAACCGGCTTAGCTATCTAAGAAGCTTAAGGATATATCATGCACCAACATGCCTCCCGTGTTTCACTAGCCTTCCAGCCAGCTTGCACAGAGGTTGCCATTGCTTCCATGGCGTGTGCATCCGCCTGTGGCATCCAGTGTGGGAGGAATTTTATCAACAAACATGGGAAACATAGAGAAACCATAGGGCCTGCTCACGGTGCAAAGTCCACTCAGCGCTCATATTGGCCAGCTCTGACTTCAGCTTTTCCAAGGATTTGGCCTACACTGAAACCACGTCAATCATTCTGCTATGCTCAACGCCCAAGCCTTCTCAGTGGCCTCGGATTCATCTGGTTCTGGCAAATGCCTGCCAAGTGTCTCAGCTTCAGAAACTGCAGGACGCAGGGCAGGCATGCAAATTGGGTCATCTCTTTTGGGTATTTGCGATATTCTGCCACAACGTGCAATTATATATCCAAGGACATAAACCAACAACAATCAGAGCAACAAAAAGAGAGGTGAGCTATGTCGCCATGTTGGCCCCTCGTTGCCTCTTCTCACCGTCAAAGGGCCTCTGAAGCTGGCTTTTCAAGGAGGCCAGCTCCTTTTCCTTGCAGGAAGGCGCATGACACCATGTTGCATGTTCTACAGAAGGCACTCGCTTGTGACCTGCAAATCGGTTCTGTACTGTGCAGCATCTTGTAAAGTAACGAGCTGTTCCCACTCACTTGAAACGCGCCCAATATTTAGCACCCAACTTAAAGATTTGCCGAGTGAGGAAGAGCGCCCCCACGGTAGTGTACCAGGCCTGCCATGCATTCACCTGCTTCATGCTGTCCAAATCAATCTCTTGGACGCGAAGTTGCTCCTGAAGGGTGGCCTGAGTGCAATAAGAACATCGAGAAGTCAGGACTTGGTGAATGTCTTTTTGGTCAAGGGGCGATCAGCTGTTGCTGCATGTCATAGAGCATCTTGAAGTTCGCATTATGCTTCTGAAGCTCTTCCTCAGCCAGTTGCAATCGTTCAACTGTTGTTGGGCACATATGCCAACCCAGTCCATCTTCTGCACAATGACAAACTGCATAATGTACACAAGCCTCAAATCTACTAATCATCTAAAGGTTAAAGGTCCAAGCCACCCTGTTTTTCTCACTTGGGCCATTTTCTTCTTCCAAAAAGGAGGATCCTCAAAATTGAACAACATTGAGACGTGGTGCGGAAAGCTCTGCCAATTCAAGCATTTGGGAGGACTCGTCTCAAAGTGGATTTCAAACATCGCCAAATGTTAGACTCTTAGACAAACATCATACTTGTAGAGATAGTAGTCAGTAAAGTTCCTTCGGGTCCGAGGAAGAGTTCCGTCTGGCTGAATTTCTAGCCCTCTTTCGAAACGTTGGACGCACGAAAACTGCTGAAATGAGAACAGCATGGACTGGAGCTTCTCCTGAGCAGCTTGTTGCTGATGGTGTCTCCACATTCGGACTATCCTGCAAGAGAGTGCATCTGGGCACAAGCAACAGCACTATGGTTCTGCCTAGGAATCTGATAAACCCCCGATGCTTGCCCAGCTCTTTCAAGTTCTTTGCCACAATAGTTGCACGAGCACTTTTCTTTCTTGTCCTCCCCCTACAGTGCCGGCATTGACCATCAAAGACCTTTAGTTGACAAAAGGCCTGGGAAGGGCACCTCCCATACGTTCAAAGGGAAATGGGCCCCGAGCCAGGAGCCAACATATTGAATGAAAAGGTCAATGTAAATGTGAGCATCAGAAATCAACACACAATCACCACAGGCTTCAGCACTTTGGTGCTCAACCCCCCACTCAAGATCGCTGAGACTTGTCTTAAAAAATGCTTGTTTGAATCAATCACGCCAACAGCAAGTTCCCATCGCACCGCAACATCCAGAAAAAACAACCTTATATATATATAACCTGGATAAAAAAAATCCCAATGGCAGGGCGACGCAAACTGCCAACCTCACGAAATGCTGCATCTGCGCATTAAGGTGATAATCTTTATTTTATACATCATACTTGCATGGAACGAATAAAGGGGTCAGGCTGGCGCGCTATGTCAAACGAATCTGACACCTTAGTCGAAGTTTAACTTGTCCCCTGTTTTCCATCCTTGTCCAATCGTAGCACGACAAACTGCCGCCATGGAGCCTTTGCGTCATGAGGTAATGGGATGGTCCTGCAACACTTTGTTGATGGACTGATCAGTTTGTGTCCTCCTCAGATCTAGTTTGCAAACATACCTCAAAACATCAAACCCGGTCAATGCTATCTGGTCCAATCGTCAGGTTCTTCAAATATCTTCTAATGTCTTGTGATCTGAATTGGGTGGGGGCTGCTAAAAGGAGGACACTCCTGGTGAGACACAAAGGCCAAGACTGCACAGCTTCAAGCCTGATCTGGCGAGTTGACAAGCCAAGTCACACATGCATGCTTTGCACATCTGTATGAGACCTACACATAGATTGCATATCTTTTGCAGCAGTGCAAGTGGGTGAATCATCAGCATCATCAGCATCATTCATGATCTACAGTATATGCCCGGCATATGTACTGCTGAGGAATGACAAGAACACAAGCTTCACACAAATCAAATCACTCACAATAGGCAATTGGCTGGTTGCGAACGGAGGGCGGCAGCTCTTGGCGCATATGGAAGCACTCCATGGCTGCTGAAACGACCTTGCGTTTGACTGTTGGGAAACTGCAGGAAATGTCCTACTAACTTCAGAGCGAAGCACATGTCTTACACATGTCATGGCCTGTGCGAAAACTAAACTTGATGGGAGAATGTGTATGTGCCCCGCGCAAGGCTTCTGGACTGTTCGCCTGGACCTGGACACAAGTGAATGAGCTGGGAGCCTGAATGAAGAAACGGCCAGGTGAGATGCCAAAGTGCCAGGATGCATTGGTCTCCTTTGGACTCGCAACTCCTGCTCGAGGCCTTTTCACATCATAGCTGCGAAAGCTACTTCTGTACTGCATGGCAATGTTAGAGAGCTATGAAGGGCCCTCTTCAAAAGTCTGCATACATTGCCAAAGTCTGTGTTGACCATGTCGGCCATACATGGAAATGGAAAGAAGGAAAGGCTTGGAAGTGGAAGCATGATGAAGCATGCACTATACAATGGATGACACGAATTCATCTCACTAACTTGGCAACCCTTTATATTAAAGAATCTTAGGGAAAATGGCAAGTAGTTTCCAGAATTTTGGCATTTGGGACGTCAAAATGGTCCGCCTGGAACACTCTGTCATGCAGAAATGCACATCACAATTTGCACATGAAAGCTCCCCAAATCGAGGCCTTACCAGCCACACATCAGGCAACCGCAAGCAGGAAGGTGCTCGAAATCAATCAGGTAAACTGGCAAACAAGAAGCCCCTTCGTACAAGACATACTCACGGTGATCAACACATCCTCCCTCAGCTCTCGTTAGGACTACCACAGAGTCGCTGTTGGCGGGTGGCATCCTTTGATCTGGGGACATGTAGTCCTGGTAATACGGGGCGCCAAGCAAGGCCCTGACAAGAAGCACAGTCTGGCGCAAACCTCCAGTTTCGGCTGCATCATCGTCTCCGTAGCGAAAGCACTTGGAGGCATTGTGAGCGAAATAGGTCCCTTGACCAAACATCGCGCCTGTGCCCTCGCCAGCATATCTAGGATCAAAGCCATTGGCCAAGATTCCGTTGATCTTTGCACTGGGTGATCCGTGAAAAAGGAGCACTTCATTGAGGTTCACCCCAGAGTCTGGGCAATGACAAACTTCTTCAATGGATCGTCGATTCTGGAGAGACTTTCCAATCATCGTCCTGATGTCTCGCAAAGCTTCGCAACTTTGACCGGCCCTTTGCTCCAAGAGCTCTCCGCGTCGTTGCATATACCGTTGAAGAAATGTCCTCAATGGTGGTAAGCCCTATGCCGTGCTGAACGGAAAACATGTAAACTAAAATAATAGTGGCACTGGTTATGCGAAAATGCATCGGGGTCAATTCACGTACGCACTGGTCTTGAATAGTATTAGCGCACGCTCTTTTGAAGGGCCTGCTCTCAATCTTCTGCACCTTCAGCACCTTGACTGAAGGGACTGGGCCCCACAGTGATGGATCTCGAGCTTGCCGATGCCTGGCTAAAGATCTTGCAAAGAGCCACTCCACCTGGCAAAGAGTTGTGACAAAATATCATGGCAGCAAGCCGGTGGAAACAGAATTAACAAGAGTGTCACTCGCGGAAGGCCATGGTCAGCTGCAGCTGCCAAGTCTGCTTTCAATCTGTTGGCTGAGCACGCAGCAAATGTGAATTCCATTCTGTCAGCGGGACTCAGTGTGGTCTGCAAAGGAACAGCGCTCCCGTGTCGCAAAATAAATGCGGCCTGGCACACTCAGCTGTGTCAAACCATGCTGTTTGAGCGGGACATACATTTACACGCACGCACACACACACACACACGTATATAACTATATATGTGTGAGACATACATGTATACAGTAAATAATACATCAATATGACTACAGCCCTAGTGACCAAGACAATTCGGCGGCATCAAAGTATAGTACTCTTTGCCTCTCTGGGCTACGAACAGCTTTGCGAATGGAGCAAAACCCAGCTCCAAGATTTTGCCGGAATCCCTCGAGCAAATGCCTCATTGCCATCTTCAAGGGGGAGCTGACTCTTGAGTCACCGAAATGGCATGAAGCGACAAAATGGGTGATGGGGCGTGATGGGATCAAACCAGGGCAGCCACACTGTGCGTATACTTGCCCCAAACTCTCCAGCTTTATGTCTTTTGGCCAATCTCGGACAGAAGTGGACATGGAGACCTTAGAAACCCCTAATTTAGCTTGCCAAACAGTTGTTGTTGTAGTTGTGGTCACTCTAGTGACTAGAGACTCTAGTGGTGATTCACCTGCCCAAGTGTCTGACCTTCACCTTCTTCTTATATTGTGTTTGACCGTTTGACCGGTTAAGTGGCACCCTCAAAGTACAACCATGGCCTTCCAACCAGCGCGCACAGAGATGGCCAATTCCTGTAGAGAGGTTTCACGTGCCTCAAGGATATCGGTAGGACAGAAAATGCCTCCACTTGCAGCAACAGCTATGAAAACATTGTGAGTCTCTGCTTCTTCTTGCAATCCTTACCCACGGAAGTACATACAAACCAGCAATCTGAGGTGGTGTCGATGTAGAATGCCATGATATAGTATAAATATATAATATATATAATCTTGCAGTACTGGAATGGGCTGAAGTTGTCTCAAGGAGTGATGGTCCTGTTGTCATTGCGATTCTTTTCGCATATGTGGGAACTTTGCAGTCATTGTTTCACGGTGACATGTTTCCCTAGTGGGCACGCGTTTTAATTGAGGCCGGGGAAAAAACCTCACCGTATGAGGATCTGCACCATGTGCCTTGCATTGCGCGGCATTTGAGGTTGGCTTTGACATGCCATGGCAGAAAACAAATCAAATACTCTACAAGTAGTTCCAGCCGTCCTCACCCGACCAGGCTTTTCCAAGGCCGGTTTCGTACTCACGTATTTACATATATTTACTGGGGTCGGTCCCTGCCCCTGGCAGGACACTGAGTGGTCTAAAACCTAGCAGCCTACCCACCAGCTCGGGTGGGAACAACCTTAGGAAGCTCTCCCACTGTAGGGCCCTGAGTCGAGCACCGTGACGACCGGACAACCCCAACATTCGATGTGCTTGTACAGTACAGTACACTCTTTGTCATGGCCTATGATTGTGCACAATAAACAACAGTCGCTTTGGGATGATTCCATCAGAATCCGAATTGTAGAATATGATTGCTCAAACCGCATTGTCACATGTCTTTCCAATGCTAATGCAAACAAGGGACTTCCTCATTGTAGAGAATCAACTCGGCACTCATCTCTGTTAGCTCTAGCATAAGATTCTCATAGGACTTGGTGAGTGCAACCTGCAAGTTTGAGGCTGGAATTCGTGGTTCGCATCAGTTCCGCTTCCATGATATGCCAACCCATGCCAATCCATTATCTGTTTTACATCCAGGTGCGAGCATGGGAGGCTCAAGTAAACTTACAATATGCAGGCAAACCTTTGGTAGCAGTTCAACACTCTTAAGACTTAAGCCCTTTCAACCCTTTCGCACTTTTAACATCTTCAACCCAATATCTTTCAATCATGCCACCTTGCCAATGGGATTCGGATGAATCATCGTCGTCTTCTGAAAATGATACTTAGAGATCGGCTGCTTGTTCTCGGTGGTTTCAAAGCCGGCGCACTAGTTTGGACAGTTGAGCGGGCAATTCACTTTCTCAAGTGATTGTCTTGGAAAAGATCCGCGCATGTGTCATGTGAGTGTGTCCGTCGGGGATTCTGTACCAGAATTTGTTGCATCTGTTTATTGTTGTTATCCTTCAGTGTTATTCACGCCTTTTCATGCCAGGAGCCAAAAATATCCAAAAATAGAAGATACCTGGTTTCAACTGGAATGGCATCCATGTTACGTGCGCTACCTCTTTGAGGACAAAAAGCAAATGATTCTTCAATTCCCAACTTCTCGAAGCATTGTGGAAGAATGCCGTCATTGGGCCTCTCCAAGCTTGCCCTCGTCTTCAGGTTGAAATCCTTCAGGTCCCTCAAGTCCTTCTGGTTCATGCCAAGACCTTGCCAAATCATGGAGCATGAGTGTCTCTGAATGGTAGCTCGATAAGCAAGAGAAGGGTATGGGCTGCACATAACAATCTGGCACAAATGCTCCAGCAGCCAGTGAGAGGACAGTCAGAGTTCGATCTCATCTTTCCGTACAGTCGTTGCATTGGACAAATGACAGCGGGATATGGAGAAGCAGGAGAATTGGTCAATGTCCGCATTGACCCATTTTCATCTATTGTGAATGAACGCGCGTGCCTCTTTGGGTGGTCGTATGAATTGTTAATGTGGTCCTTCCAAAACATGAGCAGGTTGTCCTCGGAAGGCAATGCACCTGCTTTTTATTATCACATACACGGACTCTTTCTAGCTAGAGATCGTCTCGGACCTCCTTGGCACTCCCTTTTGACAGCTCCGGGTCACTTGGCACACACACGCACATGGCTAGTGCCTTGTGCCTTCTCGAAAACTGGCAACTAAGAGTTCTGAGTACATAGAATTGGTAGGAAGAATGTAGAACGGAACGATATTTGGATAATGAAAACTTGCAGTCCTGCCAGTCATTGACGCACATCATGCTCTCCCGGTCTTCATTCTTGAGGATCGCTTGTGCCTCAAGATTTGCCTTAGCAAGGTGATCGCGAGAGGCTGGGACACCAAGAGCCGCAGCAATTTCATGTTGTTCTTGCTTTCGATGACACTGACAAATAGAATATCACTAAGCATGGGGCTATCAGCTCCTTTTGCACGTGACAAAGAGCTTTCAACTTCGCATTCAGTTTGTGAAGCTCCTCAGTTCATCTCCCACCACCGAAATCACTGTCCAGCAGCCACGCCTAGAATCCACTGCTAGCACCTTGCCATCATTGCAATCAATAAGGAAGCAAATGTTCCAAGAATTCTTCCCAGCTGCTTTGAAGTTCAACATGGCCACATCTTTTCTGCTTTCCACGTCGCACACTTCTGGCTCTTTCAGATGGTCCACTGTGCGAGCTCCTCTCAACGTTGGGAGGTTGGAAAACCAGCATGCATGAGGAAACCTTAGATTCATGCCTAATTCCACGGGCATCATTGGCACACACAATGATGAAAGCAATGGTTCGGAAAGTATATATTAAAGTGGAAAGCGAACATATAAGAACGGTAGGTGAAGGAAACAACACAAGCAATGAAAGAAAATGCGCAATAAAAAACACATGGGGTATTGAAGAAAACCCTTGTCTTTTCCAATGCCTCGAAACCATGCTACAGTATATCATGTTATCGATGTTATCGTATTTGTTGCTCTTATCGTTTTCTCAGGTGTTGGGCTCTGTGTAAAAGACATCTCAATTTTTCCAGCTTTCTGTGGGTGTGAAAGCATCCTTGGTCGAAACTCAACAAATGTCATCTGTTCCTTTCATTTGTATTAATCGATGTCCTTCAACAGGCGATATGCTCAAACCGGTCATGTGGGTATCCTCCCAAGCGCTCGCATTTTTGTCATATGTTTATATCGGTTTGCTATACGTAGTTTTGGAGGCCTGTGCAGGTTGCCATCTTCAGGGTTCATGAACATGTACATGTTTTTGTAAATCTTATCGTTGTCGGGGCCAGCAATGCAGTAATGTTAAGGTGCAGGCCAATACTAAACTGCTGAGCACAGGGTTATTTCATCAGCCCACATGAGAAAAGCAAAGGGGCAGGCACAGGAAAGAAAGACTCAGGACTAGGACCAGGAGAATGGCAATCGAAAGGAAACGAAACGTGAACATGAAATGAACATGAACATACAGTTCATTTACATGTTTGCATGCGTTCAAAATCTTTCAAGCATTTGGAGTTTGAGTATCTTGCGATGCTAAGTATGTGTCAAACAATGTCAAACAGACCAACATGCGCGGGCGCAACAGTAAACCAACATTCACGGAGACCAAACATGTGTCAAACGGAGCGAGCATGTAGACATCTGCTCCGGCACGGGGCTGGTGTCTTCTCGTTTGAAGGGAAACGGTGCCACTATCTATCTGACTTGGTCTTAACTATGCAATTTTTCGCGAGCACCCTTCGGACACATGTTTGCAAATTCGGTGTAGGCAAGCGTGCGAAGACATTCTCTGCACCACTTAGCTACTTCATCGCCCTATATACCTAGAATCCTAGAAGCCTATTCGGTCGAATAACTCGCTGAGTAAAAAGAATCAACGTGCTGCGACGCACTGTTCAGGCTGTTGTTCAAGCTGCAGCGAGACTCTGTTTTCTCAAATGAAAAGGAGTGGGTAGCATGCCACCTGCCACAAATTTCAAAAACATCTCATCTCACGCAGAATTTGCACATCTTAGGAACCGTTCGGAAAAAATCCGCGATTCAGGCGCAATTTGAAACGGGTGGCTCTGACTTCGGGCTGTTTTTTGCTGTGTGAGTGTCCAGCCTCGAGCAAAAACCTTGTCTGGCAGGCAGCTTGTTCTATTCAAACAACACTTTAGAAAGAATAGCTGAATAGCCTCCCATAGGTGGTGCATATGGTCACCGGCCCGATCCGTAGTACGGAGGTCATCTACGACAAAGGCCGTTGACCGTATGTACCCCAGTCAAATTGTCGCCCGCTCAGCAAAGCCCCGCCAATTCGTAAGCAATGTGAACAATATTCGACAAACATGTTCAGCCCGATGGAGCACAGCTGGTCATGTG